TTTTAAGAAATACGTTTTTTCCTGTTTCGAGGCGGGCGAAGCCCGCTTAGAGGGCTTTAGTCAGAGCCCGGTTCTGGTTCCGGTTCTAGGGATAGGACCCAACCGGGTCGGAACCGGACCGGGGCCCTGTCATACTCCTGGTTCAAGGCGGGCGAAGCCCGCTCTCAATGATTTTTAAAGAAAAACGTTATTTGTGATTCAAGGCGGGCGAAGCCCGCTTAGAGGGCTTTAGTCAGAGCCCGGTTCTGGTTCCGGTTCTAGGGATAGGACCCAACCGGGTCGGAACCGGACCGGGGCCATGTCATACCTCGTCGCGTAGGTCTTTTTCTCAGCTTTCAGCCAACGTGACCCCCGACCTGCCCGCCCCATCCGCATTCGGTCAGCGGGCCCCAGAGCTCAGCCGGGTCCCTCCATCACTGCGTCTCTCCCTCAGGCCCTCTCATAGGCGCGAGCCCACATTACAGAGGGCCCAAATATCGATTGGCCGACCCGCCCCGGGTTCCCAGACGGGCAACGGGTGGCCCCCCTCCAAAATTTCTTCAGAAATTTTCTAGTTTTTTTTTCACTCTTTGCCTGCTGATAGGCCCTCCACAGTCCCAAATGTACACAATCACATGATTAAAAACGTGGTTTTGCATAATATGTCCCCTTTAATCCATGAAAAAACGAATAGGGCTTTCACTGTGTGGCGTTTTGAGGTAAAGTCTGCACACACTCGTCCAAAATGTTGAGAAGTTTTTGAAAAGCAATCCGTCTCTGGCTCGGCACTTGATTGCTTCGGCTTCAGCGTTCCTCAGAGAACGGGAGAGAAAGCCTTTTTACCTCTTTTACCGCGCTCCTTGGAAAGTCATTACGAGAACGGTGCTACAAACCGAATGCTGCCTGCCTCCAACACCAGATTGACCTTCGAGCGGCGCATTGAAATAGAGTCATTGTCTACATCAACTTTTAATGGATAAGTGACACTGTAGCAGGAAAGGAACAAAAGAGCCGGGACATTTTTTCTTATCTTCCTCACAAGTGTAGACAGAACCATTAGTTACTCCTGGGGACATAAACCATTAAAAAGTCAATTGTAACAAAAAGGGGCGCTTAGGTAGTGAGAAGAAAAGACAGGAGGAGAAATCAACAAGAGGAAGAGTAGGTGGTCGAGTTTGGGAGAGAGGAGATGGGAAAATGGCGGAGGACAGCAGGTGGATAAACACCAGAGATGTATGGAGTAGAAGTACTATATAAAAAAATGACTTGAGTAAAAATAGAAGTATTCTTTCAACACCAGACTTAAGTGGAAGTACAAAAGTACTCATTTTTTTGTTCTTAAGTATTGCAAGTAGAAGTATTTCCAAAATTGCTACTCAAGTATTGAAAGTACAAGTATAAGTAAAAGTACTGTGTAAATTAAAAAAGGCAGTCAAAAGTGTGATAGATATTGTTTATATTATTTCAAAGGTGTGAAACACCATAAGGGTGTTTACAAAAACAGAAAACTACATCTGCATTAGCAATCAACAGCTCTTCATCTACTATTATTTATTATTCCAGAGTCAGAATCCTGAGCTGAGCCTTTATGCTAGCATGTAGCATACAGCTAGCCAGCTAGGTTAGCTTTAGCTAACGTTATCATACAGCTAACTTGGCTCTAGCTAATGTTAGCTGAGTGAACAGGGAACTGAACTTATATACTAGCTTATATGTCATTGTATTTTTTAATTTACCTTGAT